TGCTATTTAGGCGCACCTAAACCTCACTATTTACATTTTCTTTTTTGATATCTAATTCCAGATTTTTGAGAGTAGCCAGGATTTTATTATACCAATTATAACCTTCGATCTCATCATCTGTTTGTTCGTCAGTATTATGATCTACTTCTATATTAATCTCTGTGATGGATTTCTCAGCATTCCAGAAAGTGTGTAATATTAAGTTCCCTTTGCTGCTTCACGCTGTTGCTGATTCTTTCTTTTTTTGGTACAACTTGAGTTTCCTACATAATATAGTTTACGTGCTTTATAAGAAGTATATTCTTGATAGTATTTTTTTGTTGCTTCCTAAAGTCTTTTCACAATACTTGCAGCCTCATCATTTTCTACCAGTTTATCATAAACAGAAAAATTATCAACATCTTCATATCCTTTCAGTTTATTGTTAAAAGAAGCATCATTAATATCAGGATCGGGAAGGTCAACATTATCAGAATCAGAATCATCATAAACAAATATATCATTAACATTATTAACATTGTTTTTGATATACTGGTTCATAGCCTTTGCTTTACGAGTTTCTCTCAAATTTTTTTTAAGTTTTGTCAGGCGTGGCATGTTGGCAATTGAAGGTCTTTCTTAATAAAATCTAGTTAGCAAATGATGGAATATCGGAACATTTTATATGATACACCATACAAGGTAAGTATTGAGCTTTATTATTTAAGTAGTTTTTATTTTTACAAGAATAAAAGATCCTTTTAACAAAATATAAAGCAAGAAATTTATTATATGTATGAGAAATAACCTTTATTAATGTATTGTGATTGACTATACAATGGTGATTGATTGACTATTGTTATATAATGGTGATTGACTATAAAAAAAAAATCACTTCTGATCAGAGACGATGATTTTTTGTGATGATGTAAGACAAATTTTGTGTATGATAAAAGTGGATTTTATGTTGTGTTGTGATCTTACTTTTTATAAATTTTGTGTAATTTTGTGAGCTTTTTATAGGATTTTGTGATATTATGTGATAATTTTGTATAATTTCATTACAATAAATCGTAATTTAACCTGAGAAATTAATATCAAATTTGACAGTAATCTGAAATTATGGAATTATGCGAAATTATGTAAAAATTATGTGGAAATTATGTGGAAATTATGTGCATATATATATACAAAGGATCAAATTTGTGAAATTATGTGGCTGTAAAGTTAAATTTTGTATTTATCACAAAATTTTGTGACTTTTGTGATATATTATGAAATGCCATAAATCATCGTCCCTGCTTCTAATTTGATTACTATATCACATGTATGTGCACAGACCAATAAAATTACAAAATTACTTTATCACGTGATAAATAATCGACATTTCAAAATTGGCCGCTTGAAAATTTTTTGTCAGGACTAAGTTGTATATACTGTACTATAGTATGTAATTCTTTTTTCTTCTAAAATATCTTTATATAATATTTTTTATTTGTCTTGATATTTGAACATAAAACTTGATTAATACTCAATTATATTATTATTATTTAAATTACCTAACTTTATAATTAGAATAATAGTTTATTAACTGTTATTTTAAAAGGATAAAATAAACATCAATATTAGTTTTTGAATAATATTTTTATTATCAAATCCTAAAACTGAGGGTTTTGAATATTGTGTTTTATTATTGAAAAGATTGTTATAAGTTTCGTTTACAATTTCTAAAGTAGAGAGATAAACTTTTGCAATTACATCAGATTTACAGATATAGTCTGGTTTAATGCCATCTTCTGCACTAATATTATAGATAATAAATTTGGTCTTGTTAAGTTCTAATTGAACTTTTATATTTAGTTTTATGGGTATACATATTTGTTTTTTTTTATTAAGAATTTTTCTATCAATAAAAGTTTACCAATTTACTGAATATACACCATAATAAATTGTTGGAACGAGACTACCCAAAGAAAAAGTTGTATTGTTTGTTTTTTAAAAGACATTAAAAGCTAATTAATAAAGAAATGAAGATTTGAAAAATCTTCATTTTTATTATTTATTATTAACCCTGAATTAAATATTTATAATTCTCTATTATTACATACGGTATTTATTCAAGTTTAGAAATTTTTTACAGTTAAAATTTTATAAATTTATTGTAAAATTTTTATTATAATATTTTAAATTGAATTATAAATAGTATAAAGGATTATATAGTTTAAAGTTTTAATAAGTTAAAACAATTCTTCCATCTTTGCAATAAATTCTTCTTGAACCATCTTTAGGTATTTTTTTAAGCTATCCTTATCCAAATTAGAGGATCTTTTGATTTGTAAGAGATGTTGTACCAACTGCTTGAACAATAAAATGAGTATAATATTATGGAGGTTACCAATAATTGGTTAAATTGAAACATTACTTGTAATAATATCTTTCGTCGTTGGATTATTTTATTTGAAGTCGATTTTTCTTTATTGGTATCGATAAGTTCTTGCAACTAAAAATCCCATAATGATTGTTAAAATTGAAAATAAAGTATAATGATCTTCTTTATCAACCTTATGTGAAACTTCAGAAGCCTTTCTAATAACTTCTTGTGGCAAACCAATTATTTGTCCAAACTTTAAACCTATAGAATTAAAATGTGCCCAAATTTTTGTTAACTTATCGGTTATTTTGTAAGCACTTTTACAAATCTACCATAATGTTCATCCTCGTTTCTTCCATCTTTAACTCGATACAGATATTTCATCGCTAATAATCTATTATCTTCATTAATCTAATAAAATAATCAAATTATTAATGAATATAAAAGAATTTTAAAAAAATGTATATATTGACTTACTTCAACTTCCAAATGCAAATTCACAACTTTGGGATACACAGTTAAACTTCTTGTAAGTTCATGAAAATGTGTGGCGAAGAAAATAAAAGCCTTCAAAGGCGTATAAATAAAGGAATCAATAATAGGTATTTCATAAATTGTTTATCATTCGTACTACCTTTGACTTTAAAAGTTCTTCACAAATTGCGTATGTTATACCCAATCCATCATGTGTAGACGTTCCTTTACATTCATTTTTTTTTTCAAAAAATTTTAAGGTGAAAAGAATTTATTCGTTTCATTAAGCCAAGTTATTCAAAAAAATATAATTAACCTCTTCCAAGTTCATCGATAATCACCAAACTATCATCAGTTACATTTTGTAAAATATATGCAGTTTCACGCATTTCAATTACAAATGTACTGGTATTATTTTCAATATTATCATCGTTACAAATTCGCGTAAAGAGCTATTATTAAAAAATATTTAATGCACTTGTAAAAAAATAAAGAATATTATAAACTTTAATATTCCATACCTGGTCTGCAACTCTAAAGGATGCATATTCCGCAGGCACACTATATAATGATTAAATGTTTAAATTGCTTTTCATTTATCATTAACAATCTACATATAATATATTTAATATTACTATGATCCTATTTGAGACATAATACTCATTAAGGCAATTTGCCTCAGGTAAGTGCTTTTTCCACTCATGTTCGGTCCGGTAATTAATTGAAAGCTTGTTGCACTGCTTGCATAAGTATCGTTAGGTACAAATGTATCATTATATAGACTTTCTCGCATTGGATGTCTTCCAGCCTTTATGGCCAAAGTATCCGTGAATTCTGGTCGAACTAATTATTATTCGTTAATGAATTGCATAATTCGTTAAACCTTTGATCAAGAATATATAATAAATGTACCATAGTTCGACACAGTGCATTGATGAACAAATGAAATTAGCATATCCAACATCGCGATGGATTCCGAAGCCTTGTATAGTACACCAATATCACCACGAATTTCTGAAATCAAGTCCTCAATAATTCTACGAAAAATGGTTAATCTCTGAGCTAACAACTTAATTTCTCTTAAAGGAGAGATTATAGAATAGCATACTTGTCAGACATCAAATATACTTCAGTTAACGAGTCATTGATCTTGGTATTCTTTTTCATGATTTCCAATGTCGTAAAGGTCTGACCCTTTTTTTTCTTTTTAATGGTAATAAATATAAGTGGAAGTGGTCTGCCTTCTAATTGTTCATTATTTATTGATAAATAAAATCCAATCGCTGAACTGAATTGTGTCTTTATAGGTATTTGATATTGGTCTAAAATACTTAATAAGATAAATAATCTGTAACCAATAATTAATTAAAAAAACATTAAAAACTAACCGCGGTATGTTGCTATTATTTCATTTAAATCATCAACAGTTTCTTTGTAAGTTTGTCGAGCAACATCCAATAAACCATTAAACCCTGCCTGAAAATGTTAATAAAAAAAAAAATTAATTTTCAATTCGTTTTAGATTTTTATTTTATTTATTTCTTTTTTTTAACCACCTTAACAGCATAACATCGCTGATTTCTAAGTGCAAGTGGTGTTTTGACATACGTAATATCTTCATTGATAACATCATTAATAAGCTCTTCAAAAGCATCAAGTCGTGTGTCCGTAAGAAGCTAATCATAAGTTTATAAACAATTTTAACACGAATCAAAGAATGTCCAAGGACCAATAAAATAATTTATACTTCATAAATCGCATCCAATAATGAATTCTGAATGCCAGTAAATGATTCTTTAAGTAATTGAATTAATCTCAGGTTATGCTTTAACATAATCACGTTATTGATGCTTTGTTCTGCATATTTAATCGAAGGCCTCTTTGGAACTTGAATCAACTGAATAAAGTAAATGTTTGAATTATATGGTTATATGTGAATCACATGCAAAGACACTATTACCGCAGTGATTAAATGATCAATGTCTTGAAATGGCTTAAGCGCTATCAGATTGTAAAAAAATTCATTAATTTGAAATTACAAACGTTTTCAGATTCCAATTAACCATTACCAGTTTGAATCGCGAAGAAAGTATCCTATTGTAAGAAAGAAAAGTTGTTGTACATTATCATGCTTGATCATTAACAGTGAACAATATCACATGCCTCGTGACGTATAAGCTCTGTACAAAGTAAATAAGAGTTATAAGTTGGAGTTTCTCCATAAGAAATGTTCATGCAACGGAAATGAAAACCTTCAACAGCATCCAATCGCATATTAATCGTCATGATATCTAAATGGATGAAAGATTAGCACGTGAAATTATCAACGCTATTATTATCATACAAATTTACAAACCGCTTAAAGGCTGCAGAATATTTGTTCTCAACAAACGAGCTAAACGGTATAAACGACCAACTTCAATGAATAAATATACTGCATAATGTTCATTTATGTTCTATACTCGCCTCCCATGGACGTGCACGTGCAATTTAGGACACCTGAAAGATGGAAATAGTCTTTAACATCGATTATAGATTCCAGTTAGTCATATAATAAGTAAAAAAGTTCAATTTTTATACCGAAAAGTGAATGATTGCTACGTGGATTGTTTATGTTGCTTATCAACTCAAGGTTACGTGAAGTCATACTGTCTAAATAAAAAAAAAAAAAATAATAATTGAATTTTGACCAAAAGACTTTGACGAACATAACATTGCATATGATACCTATCATCATCGTTCCTATATTCAATAACGTTAAGAATGATCAAATTTTAAAAGGATCACCATTTACATGTGCAATAAAGGATTCTTTACCTTCACACCCTTGATACTTGAATTTGATAGAATGGTTGGTAAAGAAAATATTCTGGGTAGATTCAATATACCTAAATGAATAAAATAAAATCATTACTAATTAAAATGAGAAATTCTTTACATTAAAATTTTTAATTCTTACTTTAATATCGCAGCGGTTGCCGCTAAACAAAAAAATCTACATAACAATTATATATATTTTTTTATTAGCAAGACCTTGTAAAAAAAAAAAAAAAAAGTGTTACAAAACGGATTTAAGAATAGGTGCTTTGATGCAATGCCCAATATCAATGAAGTAGATTCATCTTCTAAACCATACTAAAAAGGAATTTCTTAAATTAATGATTTTTGATGTAATTATCAAAAAAATGTTAACATTCATTTCACTTGCTTGTTTGATGTAATTAAGTCCTATTTAAGTGAACAACGAAATAATTGATGAAATTTTAATTAATCGTATTTATAAATATAAGAAATAAAGCGTACCAATCACATCATTAAAATATTTTCTTCCAATTGGTACGAAGCTAGCCATTGGAATATTGTCCTCAAGAACCTTGCACAACTTGGATTTGGAAGGTTCAAAAGCAGTTTGAGATAACACGATCTTCAAAAGAGACATTTATTCATTAGGAAAGAATTATGCGAGCGCGATTACAATATATAATGTACCTCAGACGGATCATATAAATTTAATTTGTGTAGCGTCTTTATGTACGTTTGAGAATCAGCGAACTTGACAACAATAGAAAGAATTAGGTTTAGATAATTTTGCGTAGATTTCTTAAAGATAAACCATACCTGTGATAAAATACATTCGCTTGTTCTTAAATCGATAAAGCACATTCCAATTTCGCTAGCCACGCCTATTGTGGTTTAAACAGTATATAATATCTATCTAAATATATTAACCCAAAATGTTACTTTTTTTGACGTTACCTCTACCCTCAATTACAGCAACCATGTATGAATGATTATCGCGTCCGCAGGCACGTGTAGAAGTCGAAGTTCTAGGTCGTCGCGTCGGTAAACTAGATGAAGATTTTGAATCCTCGGAGAAACTTGTCGATGTTATATCGCAGGATTTCCTTGAATGGGATGTGGACATATTTCTATTAATTTGTAGATGAAAGAAGAATCTTGTGAATTATTTAAATGATGAAATAAGTATTTATATCTTGTGAAACATGTTTACAAGTTAAATTTTTTTTTTTTTTTTTTATAGTTTGAAAACATAATATGTACTGTAACAAACAAAATTAATTAAAATTAATTAACTAAATCTTATAAACTGATAAAAGATCAAGATCAAAAAAAAAAAAAAATTTTTTTCATGTGAAACTAATACAATATAATGATAATAATAGATTTTTAATCACAGATTGAATTTAATTATATGTAAAGAACAATATTTTTGTTTATCTTTATCTAAAAAAAAAAAATAAATAAAAGCTTATTTTGTCTTCATTTATAAATGAAATATAAACAAAGAATAATTACATGAACAATATAATTCATGTCAATTTTGTAAGAAATTTTATTTTTCTAAATGCGTAACTTATTTGACCTGTTTATGCAAGTTGTATGTCCTTTGACAGGAATCAAGGTTTATCATCAACAAATTATAGAAAGTTACCCAACATTTATTAAAACAAACAAAAGAAACAAGTTTTATCAATTTTTTTATTTTTCTCTCTCTCTTTTTTTTTTTTTTTTTTGACGCGTCTCATCTTCTTTGCATTGTTTAAACCTCCAATCAAAAGAAACAAGTTTATTTATTTATAAATATCTATATATATATTTTTAAAGATTTTCATGGCCTATCCTTATAAGAATTACTTGATTATTTTCGTTTGTTCTTTGTCATTTTAAGATTCTTCTAAAAGTTTCTCACATCTTCGCGTGTTTCCTAAATTAAAATTATTGAAGACTGGAAGGTGAAGGGTCCACAATGGCAAAAGGAATATCAATTATTTACAAATAGTAATACAATTCCTATTTTTTTTTAAAAAAAAAAAAAGAAAAAAAGAAAAAAAAAGGAGAAAAAAAAAAAGAAGAAAAAAAAAAACTTTGCATAATTACCAAAAAAAAAAAATTATTTCTTTGTTTATTGTAAACTTTCATTAATGGGGAAAGGTCCTAGTACCCAGGTTGAACCTTCGAACTTACATAACTGATAAATTAAATGCTAAATCACTGAACTTAGTTACACCAATTTCCATACTCGATATGAACAATATATAACTTTAAAATTTTTTTTTTACTCGGTCACAACAACTTATGAAAGCAACGCCTTTTCCGATTAGTAAAATCAAACCACTTTCCATTCATGGGTCAACTTTTTATGGAAATTTTGGAAGCACGGCCTCTTAACCTACTTAAACATAGAACATGGTTACTGTTTTATATTAATTTGAGTAATTCCACGGTCTTGGAATATTTAAGAGTCGAAAGTCTTCCAAAGAGAAAATTCTGATGCATGGAAAAAGGGGGAAACGGTTCGTACGTTGTCCCGCATATAAAAAAAAATATATATTGAAATTAATGGATCAAGAAATCAAATTTTGTTTTACATATTTTCATTTGAAGATTGCCTTAAATTTTCAGTGATTTCTCGACAATTAAATTCGTGAAACGCTCATGGTTTCAAAGGACGTTTTAGGTAAAAAAAAAAAAAAAAAAAAAAAAAAAAAAAAAAGGAGAGAGAACTAAACCGAGATAATTGAAATTAAAATGTGACACTATGCATACTATATGCGAAAATAAATGTTGTTCCCTGGAGAATCAGATGAAATTATGCTCCGGAGTTGTAAAAAAACGTTGAGTCAACTTTTTCATTTCGTGCATTAAGAAAATCTTTGTACTTTTATTTTGGTGTAATATTTTTTTTTTTTTTTTTTTTTTTTTACGGACATTGACATAGAAGCATCTAGGCACTTTACGCATAATAAACAAAGAATCAAATATTTGTGATACGAACAGCGAAAAATTATGTTATCATAATGTTCTTTTTATTTTCGATTTCTCGTCTTTATTTAGTAATTGTAATTATTTATTTGCTTTACAATACGTAAACAAATAAGGTATCATAAAAAAAGCAGCAATTCTATGACGATTTTTAAAAACAAACATTACAATATAAATAATAAAATATATAATATATAAAATTAAGGTTCAAGTGTAAACCAAATCGGTATTGATCAAAATTCAAGATCAATCAATGGTTACGCAATTCCTTATAAGGGTAACCCATCATTTTTTTGGTTTATAAATAGTTCCCCCATTCGTTCGTTGAAAATTTCTTTTTTATTTCTTTTTCGTTTTTTTTTTATTTTTATTTTTGTTCCTTTTTTTTATTTCGTTTTATTTTCATTT